GAGGGTAAAGAAGTGTAAGTGTGTGGTGGGGGGGGGAGTCTCCACTGACACCAACTGAACATTTTCCTTCTTTCTGAGGCCCTTGCACAGGGAGGAGGCAAATCTAGGTGGAGGCAGACGGAAGGGAAAGTTAATCCCCTCCTCTGTGCATGGTGGTCCCAACCCAGATCAGGGCTCTGCACGCTTGCAGAGTAAAAATAAGTCTGAATCAGCTACAGGCTCTGCATTTAGTGTAGTGTGTCCAGCTGTTTTCTCTTGCTTGCACCTTACTGGTTTACCCAAGGTTAGCATTTGCCATGATTTTTGCTTTGACTCTAGTTAAGGTTCCAGAAGTACAGTGAAATCATAGTCTAGCTTGGCCAGGTAAGTCCTGCTGTGCAGGGCATGCCTAGAGAAAGAACAATGAGATCAATGTCTACCTTACAAGCCAAGAGGCTGGAAGAGTGGGAAGTGGCTTGACTTGTGGGGGGTGTTCATGGTTTTTGCCTTGTTTTTAAGTGCAAATGTTTCTTGCATTCAATGATACAGTGGGGAAATACCATACAGTAAATAGTAATATAACTACAGATATTTATAGATTTAAATGTCTATAAAATGGCACAGGCATGGGATGGAAACAGTGCTACTATTCACTAGTGAGGTTACAGGTACTTCTCAACAGATATTCAGGGCATTTGCATAACCATATTTTAAAGAAATAATTCCACGGAAGTCATTAATTTGGGGATGGGAACAGTTTGATTCCTCAGTGACAAAATACTGCACTCTGAACACCAATGTGATATTGAACATTTCTACAAGAGGCTGTTAATCTCTGTATCTACTTTTAGTTTTGTGCAGAGCACAAAGAGCATTTCCTTTCCTGCTTTTCCACTATATAACCTCTAGATGGCAATGCTGCATAATGGAATACTACAAATGCACAAGTGAAAAAAGAGTTTCCTTTTCACTTCTACAAACTGTCACTACATAATCTAAAGAACCTGTTAACAATCATGAAGAAGGACTGATGAGCAAATGCCTCACATAAAAAAGCTCATATTGTTCTTGCAACTGAAATGCTACTTTGAGGGAAGGCACATAGATGCCCACCAACAAAACCAGTTAACCTCTATAATAAATGTCTAAAATTACCCTTATCTATATCAAAAGATTAAACTACATGTTCTGATTAATGGCATGTATCTGCCCCCTCTTTATTTTACAGCAAGATGGGGGTGCATGATCCAAATCAAGACTACCAAGTACAGGTATAGGGGAGTTAAACATTCCCAAACACATGCTTCCCTCCCCCCAATTGCCCCCTAAAAAAAGAAAAAAGCACTGAAATAAACAAAAAGTAGAATTACAATCAGTGACACACTATATATTTAATGTAGCCTGTAGTTTTCCCAAAAAATCTGACTCTCTGTTTGGAAACCTGCCCTTGCCCCTGTGCTCTGTCAATGGGTCAGGCAGATTTCAGGTTTGTGAAGCAAAGCTACTTGGTTTGATTTTTTGCCAGATCCTGAGATCCACTGACCAGAGCCTGGTGCAACAGGCAAATACTTAGAAGTAATGGTTTGGACTCAGGAATTTGTTTTGACTACCAGAACTGAACAAGACTCCCGCAGTCCTTCCACAAAAATCCAGGTAACTCACAGCTTTCCTTATTACTAGTAAATTGCAGAGAGATCGACCAGGTCTACTTTCTGCTCACCTTGGGTCTGCATGCAGTACTCAGCTTTATACTTGGTTACAAGCAGATTCTTTCACGGAAGACTTTCCTTACCATATAAAAGAAATGCAAGTGATTTCGGCTTGGGCAGGGGACTGATAAGGGAAGAACACATCTGAGGAGTTGTTCAAGTTTTTTCCTCCTGCTTATATGCTGAAAAATCATAACCTCGCCACCCCCCGCAGATGCTTCTCTTACCATAGGGGTAAAAAAACACAGGGTCGCAAAGTTTTGACAGCACAACAAAAACAGTGGAGCTTCCTCACCTCTTCCTTTACTGCTTTGCAGACTAAACACCCCTGATGCTTTTACATCCGCTTTTTACAGACACCCACTCAGAAGTTTCATATCCCATTTTCTTGAACTCTTTCTAGATTCAGCCATCAGACTGTCCCTGCTTTGGCAGAAGGGCTGTGCTACAACAGCTGGGAGCATCTTGACCCAGGCGAGGGTGGAACACCCCCTTATCATGTAAAAAGCAACAGGATTCTCCCCCTTCCATTGCTGGAGAACAAGCAGCTGCCTTCTATGGGGGTGGATCCTTGGCCCATCTGGCACAAATTCGCCCAGACTGCCCTGCAAAAACTCTCAGGGCTTTTGGCAGGGTTCTTTCTGAGGCCTCCCTGGCCACTGGTCCTTCTGTTTGCAAAGCAGGGCTCCGCTATCTCTGTGCTTTGGCTCCCTCCAAAGCAGGGATGGCAACCAGTAGCCCTTTTGGCATTATTTAATGCGGCCCTTCGCTTAATCGCAGAAGCCCTCTACACACGATCAGGTCTGATCTCACTGGTCCGTGCCTTCCCTGGCATGCCCCGGGCAGGACAGGAGGAGGAGGGAGAGAAGCAAAATGGGATGGCTAGCAGGCAGGCAGGCAGGCAGGCAGAAAGAAAAGGGGTAACCCAGTCCGCTTCAGCCCACTGTTGGCTTCAGCCCTAACCACTGCTAGCAGGGACCCTGCCCTCTGCGAACGTCCTCGGAAGAATACAGGCCCCAGCACATACAGGGCTGAATACAAGGGGAAAGAATGTTCCCCACCCCTGACCTAAAGGGAATATTGATGGTGGCACCAAATTTAACATTGAGTGGTAATGATGATACTGCATGAAATTCAAAACCGGAGGAATGCAAAGAGATGCAATTAAAATAGTGTTCCAAAGCTCTCACTCAGCAGCAGCATCAAAGCATGTTTGCTCAGCAGTTACGATGCACTGTGTTCAGTACGTCTTGCTTCCAACTCGAATCTCTAATTTTTATTACATTCATGTTTAGTTCACTTTATTCATTTATATCCCACATCTCTGTGCAAAAGAATTCAAAGCAACAAATAATAAAACCAACATTGGAACAGGAAAAAGACAAGCACATCGATGAGGCGTTTACTTTAAGTAAGCCTAAATGCTTATCAGCGGGACTCTCAGCAGCACACAAGGGACTCACAAATAGCCTCCCGTCCACACATGGACCAGATCTGACGCTGCTTAGCTTCAACAGTGGAACTACACCAGGCCGGACAGCACAACACTTTAAGGATCCAGCTGTGCTCTTATTCTTTCCTCAGACCGGGCGCTGCCGAGCGTCAAGGCCACAGCGAACCTTCCAGGGAGAACAGCGGCCTGTGCTGGAAAAGCGTCCGTGCTACTAGATACAGCTGCATCCTGCCCAGCTTCCCATCTGCAGTCCTTAAGGAAGGAGGAAGCGGCTGGCGATCAGCAGCTGTTTCCGCTCTGAGTCTGTATTTCTTAGACGTGAATCAGTTGTTTGCAGGGGAGGTAGGTAACTCCTAAGTCAGTTGGGACCCTCATTCATTGCAGCTTTTATTCTAAGCTTGCGTGCACTATCCATGCTGCTGAACTCCCCAACCCCCAAATAAGTTCACCACGATGGAGCACCATGATAACTCCTATATAGCACAGAATAAATGCCGTGATGGTAAGGTGTCCCGCTGATCTACAAGTCACCAGACCCCCTGGTTGCTTGCTCTACCTGGAATTAGGGTGGCCAATGCAGAGGACAACAGGGCTCCTATGCCTTTAAGAGCTGTGCAGATGAAATCCCCTCTTCTGTGCAGCTATTACAGATGGTCACACAACCAGGGCTATTGATGTCTTTTCGGATTAGGCTTTCTAGGCAGGCCCACCTCTGGGGGCTTACCCAGCCCCTAACCCAACACTCTTCAGCCAGGACTGGTTATGCAAACCATGGCCTGGCATGCACCAGGGCTCCCAATAAACCACCATGGCTTGTTCAACCACAACTAGCGGTCCAGGTGACACATTCAGCCAGGGGTCCTCAAACTTTTCCACCAGGGGGTCAGCTGAAATCTGCCATGCTGGGTGCGGGCCGGAAAGGTGGTGCCGCCAATGCACATGGGTCAGCACAGGGGCGGGGGTGGTGGGCAGCAACAGGTGGGCACGCGCGTGGGCACGGCGGGTCCAAATGGGCATGGCAGGCCAGATCCAGCCCCCGGGCTGTAGTTTGAGGACCCATGCATTAAGCCATTATGGTCTTCAAGTCATGGTGGCTTATTGAGTCATCCAAACCTGGGACAGTTTTATCAGGGTAGCTTAAGTTTAAGGAAGAAGGGTGCGAACAAGGTTCATTCTTGATTGGTTGAAATGATCATCTGGATGCAGTCGCTATGGATGGATTCAGACAACCCAGGAAGACTCACACAGTGAATATATATTGAATATAGGTTGAGTGTGGGTTGCCATCAAACCATGGGTTATTATGCTTACTGACCACAGCTGTACTAACAAACCATGGTTTGTTGTTGGGCTGTGAACTCTGGGTTGTTCACCACTATTACACTGACTGGGTCCAGACAACACAAGCCAAGTTTCAACAACACACATTCACCCCACACTCAGTTCTTGAGTATGGCTTGTCATGTTATTTTACCCTAGGCTATAACTTATTTCTTCTTACGTTTAATTATTCAGTCTGCAACATTTGCACAATCGTGCCACAAACAGAGATGTCACAAATGTTCCTAAACAGCACAGCAATGTTGGCAACAGCATGGGGGCAGTCACATTACCCAACAACACAATCTGAAAACTGGATTCTCTGCATTCAGAATGCTAGAAGATGGGAAGATGTTGTGTTATCTTACAGTGAAAAGGTTATGGAAGTGTGACAATATGCCAAAAGCGTTTTAGCCTCTTTTCACAAAAACATTCTTCATATACAAAAACACAGGCATGTTACTATATTTTTGCCGATTTTTCCTTTTAACAAGCAGAAAGGGAAGATGCTAATCTTGCATGATCCAGAACAAACTTACCTGACTGCTATAGGCTTGGTCTGGCAGGAGTCCACAAAGGCAGCAGCAGAACGTCTGCTGGTGAAGCTTTCAGAGCTGCAGCCAGAAGTATGTGGAACACCTGGAGTTCAGGCAACCTTTAAAAAAAACGATGAGACAAGTCCAGTTAGCTTGCTACTGTATATATTGTATACAGATGTTCCTACTACACACAATGACAAAATGTACATGTAGTGTTGCTGGGCTGCAACTGAGCTCTTGCATTTTCTTCTCAATATTGCGAGGTTTTAGGGTGTGGTCATGACTGCTCCTGCCCCATTCTTTCACCAGTTAGGAAGAAATGAGATCTTGGAAAGTGGGTTTCCAGAAGCTGCATCCCTGACCATTGCCCATGCTGGTGGGGGTTTCTGGGAGTTGAAGTCCAAAACATCTGGAGTGCTACTTCTGCCTACTCTTCCTCCTTCCTGAGGTTCCAAGAGGAACTCTTCCTGTTCCAACTCAGACAGGAGAGGGGATGGATTGAAAAACAGGGCAGGAGCCACAACTCCATAATCTTTTGCAGAAACAACAACAGAGGAGAATGAGAAACGAGAGAGGATGCAGAAAGACACTGGCAGGCTTATAGCTTCCTGGCAGAAACATAGAAAGAGAGGGAATCAGAAGGGGTCTCCTGGGCCATCCAGTCTGACCCCTGGCTCTAGCCAGCTCCACTCATGACATGCGGAGCAGACAAATTAAGAAGAAGTTTGTAAAGACATATTCTCTTCTGTTGATCGATGGTAAGCCCCCAAGGTACACTGCTGCCCTTAGTACGTTGCTAAGCTGTACCTAGCTGACCTTATGGAAAGAGAGAAACAATATGCTAGTAAATAGACCCAGCCTCACCCAGGTTGGAATAACCTGTAACAAAACCTTCACAGAAATATCTGCAGCTGTCAGAGTTGAACACAAAGATGAACACACCGTACCCCATCTAAGTGAAGGCACATATGCTGGGGCACCCTGTGGGAGGGGTATGCCCCCTTCATTCCCCTGAAGCAGCTGCCCCATAACAGTAAGGAAGGGGAAGTGGATCGCCCCTTGGACTACCAGTTTCTATTGCAACACAATCACCCTGGTTAGGGAAGTTTGCCACCTAGTGACTGAAGACAGTACTGCGTATTTTAGATAGATACATTCAAATTCATTCTTGCATTTTAAAAAACAAATAACCACAAGATACAGATCTGTAGAGTCCCCTTATTATGCATGCTGTGTGTTGAGTGTCTCCATTTTATAGTCTTGGTGCTATGAGACTGACAGACACAAAAACACACTCATATCCTTTCTGTTATTATAGAAGATATACAAACTACTTGAAACAAATATATGCTGGATTACTTTAGCTCATTTTGGGAAAAATGGAGGCTGGGATTACGTCGAGTAGTAGCAGATACTCCCCCTCCCAAGTATTTCTGACCTAGCCATTTGCCACCATCCCAGCTTTCAGGAACAGTATATTAAGATCCTACCTAGCATAGATTCAGTCCCATAAAAATGCTTCTGCCTCTCTACTTCTCTCCACCACCAAACTAGTGTTTCTAGACATATCTGTGTGGGGAGGGGTGGGGGGCGAGGGGGTAATCTTCCCTTTCAGTTTACTGAGGAAAAGGTAGAACTCACCAGCCTGGCTGCCATATTTTTCCTCCAAAGCCTCACAATGACCTATCAAGCCTCAGATGGGGATTTATGGATAGAAAAATACAATCTGTCTGTTAGTGCTTGAGTCTTCCACTTTTCACATCGCAGTAACAATAATTCATCATGCAGCTTCATTTTCACAGGCAGGGTCTTTGTTTGGTTTTGTGAGAAAGAAGGGGGAGTGGTGGCTGCCAGCTGGGAGAAACACCACACAGGCCACTGAGTTCTGCTTGTCCCACTCCCTGAACATCACTCCCATCCGCAAATGTCCCCAAGGTACCTCCTCCACATTTCGGAGTCTTAAAAATAGGGAGCCATTTTCAGCCTGCCCTAACGCAGACCACCACCCTCTCTAGCTTCTGAGCAGTAGAAAGCTAATCCTGGCTCTTTTCCCTTTTACCTTTCCTGTTTTTTATTATTTTTTTAAACTTACCATCTGGACTGCCTGGGCTTCATTGCTCTTCTCAGTCAATGAATCTCAAGCTGTAAAAACACAATACACCGAATGTAAAGAGAATGTATTTTCTTAGGCAAAGCAAATGCAATTCACTCTGGGCCTGCAATCAGGGCTTGCCTGTTGCGGCTCCGTGCAGGAGGCCTGTCGCTTCGCTACGTGTGGCTGGGGCACGAGATGGGGAAATGACATCACTTCACGCAGCATGGAGGAAAGGGGAAGGGGAAAGAGGTAAGAAATGGACCAAGGGACCCCCACCACCACCACCACGCGCTGCACCCTTCCAGTAGCGCAACCAGGGCCAGTGTCAGAAGCAGGCAGCATAGGGCACCTTGCCAAGGCCCATCCCACCACATGGGGACCACAGTCCATCCCCAGAGCCTCCTGGGGGGGAGGGCCTTGCTGTTCCCTTCCCTTCTCTAGGCATGCAGGCCGGGAACAGTGGGAAAAGGCCGAGCCGTTTCCTCCAGCCCTCGCTCTCTCTTGCTCTGGTTTTTGCAGACTGGGTCCACAGGGAGAGGAGGGTGCCTGCGTTGACGGCAGGGAGAGAATGGGTGGGGGTCCATGGTGGATATTTCATCCAAGCTCCCACCCCGCTCCCAGAGCTGGCACTTGTGGCTCACAACATTATTAACTCCAAAAGATGAGCCCTGACAGAGGAGCCTGATCTGCCGAATTCACAGCAGACAGACCTGCTGAAGGGATGGAAGTTGCGATTAATCAAATAGTGGGTCCATGCTGAGGAGGTAACTGCACTTCCAGCTGAGCAATGGTCAAGAGCCAGTGGTTAAGGGCGCGAGACTAGGACTCAAGCAATCTGGGTTCTAGTCCCTGCTCAGGCATGGAGTCAAATGGGTGACTTTGGGTCAGTCACAGAATCTCAACCCAACCTACCTCACAGGGCTGTGGGGATAAGATTGAGAGCAGGAGGAGGAGAATGAGAAGGGAGAAAAAGAAAAAGGTGAGATATAAATCTAATAAATATGTAGATAAATTTTGGGAGCAGGTACCAGCTCATGAGCTGCCCACGAGCCTCCCAAAATGTCTAGCTGGTCACTACCAGGTGATCAATTACTGGAACTAGGTGGCATTTGGTCTGATGTGAGGTGATAGAACAGTTAAGGGACTGAAAATGAAGTTAACTACTCGTGGAAATCTTTTATGTAACTCAGTGGTGCAGCTCTCCATCAGGAATACTATGCACAGTTCCAGTTGCTCTGTCTCCGCTACAGAGCAGAAATGGGTACAAAAAGGCAACCAAAATGACCAAGGATGGTGAGCACCTCCTCTGTCAGGAAAGGCTAACCATTTGTGAGGTTTCTGTTTAGGAAAAGTATTACTGGAGGGTATTATGCAGGTTTACAAAATTAAGTAGAAAGGGAGCAGGTACACAGAAATTGGGAACTTGTGGCCATGGGCTATTCAAGGTCCAGAAGCTTAGTTTTAAAGAGATTGGAGTGGCTTGTGGTTCCAGACAGCCAGATGTGTCCTCTTCCAGACCACGCTAGACCATTCTTTTCCCCAGCACCCTGTCTCCGTGCTTCCTTCCACCTCCACAGTCAGGTAACATTCAGGGACCATTGAGCGTGCTTGGGCCTCACTGAGCAGTTTGAGGATTTTCACCCCTTTATATATATTTTTTGTACTTTTATAGACCTTGGAATTCCCTCTACCTGCTGACAGTTGCCCTGTTGTCCGTGGATGGTGCCTTTCAAATGCATAAACAACAGCACTTACGGCCTGAACATCAACTATACAGAGGATGATCACCAACAAAACCTGCATGTCCAGGTTTTGAATATTTCTTATTTATTTATTTAATGTTTTTCTATGCCATCCCATTACTAAAAGTCTCTGGATGGCTTACAAAGAATATTAGCTACAAAAGGCATAATCCTATGCCTATTGAGACAGAAAAACTCCCAGCATGCCCCAGCCAGATCTATAGGCAAAAAGGGTTCCAAAATGGAAATTGAAATGATCAAAGATTCTGAACATCTTCTCCATAAGAAAAGTCTAAAGGCTCTGCAAGTTTTTCATTTTGAAAAATTATTTGCGGGGGGCATTATATGGGTTTACAAAATTATGCAGAGAGGGAGCAGAAAATCAGATGGGTGAGGGGGATGCTGGGTGCTGTAGGCCTTTTTCCTGTCTCAACAGACATGGGATTGTGCCCTAAGGGACAAACAACATGGGAGAGGTCTGCCCATGCTGCTTCTAAACTTCCTAGTAGCATCTGATGGGCCACTGCAGAGAGGCCGCAGGTGGACCTTTGGGTTCTGGTCTTGCATCCTCACCACCCAGCAAGGAGATTCTTACGTTCAAACACAACAGAGCCTTGTGGCTCCTTAAAGACCATTTGAAAGAACACACTGATTCCAGCACAAGCTTTTATGAACACGGTACAGTTCATCAGCTCTGTTGTGGCTACCAAAACTTGTGTCACAGTAACTGTGCTTGTCTTTAGGGTGCCACAAGACTCTTCATTGTTGTGACTGCAAATAAAAGGCACAGCTGGGAAATTTTCAAAGCCCAAACCAGCCTTCCTCATCCTGGTGCCTCCAGATATGTTGACCTGCAACTCCCAAATTGTAGTCTGACACATCCAGAGGACTCCAGGATGGGGAAGGCTGGCAGCTCCAACGACCTCAGGATGCTGACCAGCTTGCAGTGAAGCCAACACAAGCTTCTCCTCCAAGATAACTGCAGGAAGCTGCCTCTGACTGGATCCAACCACCTGGCTGTCTGTCTGTCAGCACTGCCTGGAAGCAGGACTGCAAGCAGAGTCTTTCCTAGCCCTACCTGGAATTGCTGTAGATCAAACCTGACGCCTTCGCCATGCAAAGCAGCTGCTCTGCCATCGTGCTGCAGCGCAAGACTAACTCTAAAGGAGGCTGGTTTAGCCCAGCTGCACATAGGCCAGGGAGTGCTATGAAAGGATAGAGGGAGCGCCGGTCTTGCCAGAGTCAAGTTTTGGCTAGTTCTGCTTCACCTTTCCAAACAAGAGCAGGAGAAAGACATAAAGGATCCTCAGCTCCATCAGCCCCAGGGGAGAGGATTCCGTTGGCATGGTGACAGTCAGCCCTAGCTTCCTTTTAACTAACAGGAATATAAATGTTTTGTTCTCATTAAGGAAAATAGAGCTGCATTCCTGATTGGTGAGTAATGTCTCTGCCCCAAGTTAATCTCCCGGAACACTGTGGCAGCCTGGAACGGTTTCCAGCTGAACCCACTCCACCACTTTCTCCCGAGCCTCTGCAGATTCTTTGAAGAGGAGGACGCATCCACAGGCCAGCCGCCAGCCGCATGGGCCAGGCCCACCATCTCCCACGCCACTCCATGCCAGGCTTTCCTCCAGCTGCCCAAGGGGACACGCCATCACCAGGCTGATTTTGGTGGCAGGATGCAAGCAGTCCGTCAACTCTTACTTGTGACAGGCCGACACGCCAGCAAGGCACACAGCTGTTAGGAGACCTTGCTTGGTTTCTTCTTATCTGTATTCTTATGCTTATTCTCCTTTTATTATAAGCCTATAATCCCGTAGTTTTCAAACATGCTTGCCTTCTGGGAAAGCTTGTGACATTCCCCTTGTACGCTGGAGTATCTACCACAAACTCTTGCGTGAGGCCAAGGACTGGGGGATCATGTTTTAGGAAGGAAAAGAATTCAAAAGAAACCCTAGAATACCCAGAAGGCCCTCCTCCATCTCTACTAGTGCTGAGCCTGACATTCTCAGATGACAACTACTGGCGCAAAATGGGCAGGGGGTGCAGGTGAGGTGTGTGTGAGAAAGGAAGCAAAATTGCTTCCTGTTCTTTACGGTTTTCACTGCTGTCATTTGTCAGTTCTACAGTAGTGGCTGCAAAGAGAGCTCTTCCCAAAAGCTCCCTTGCAATTTCACAGGCAAGGGGAAGATCAGCAGTGCTGAGAAGGTGATCCTTCAGGGAACCTTTCCCATTTTAATTCCAGTTTTTGTATATCTGCTGCTGAAGTGAACATAGGGAAGCTTAATTGCCACTGCTGGGCTTTCCAAGGCCATTACTGCCCCAACACCATAATACACTCTGAAAAAACTGTAGAATTCAAAAATAAATCATGCTCTAGTTGTGTGAGGCTTATCTAAATTAGTTTCCCAAGGAAAAAAAAATCACTAAATTGTGTTGAGAGGCCCTCTGCTTTGATCTGGCAAGCTGAGTACACACAATATTGCCTTGATTGCCAGCAGCATTGTGCAGCAAACTTGAATGAATAAATGTAACAATCATGTTATTGTTATTATTATTGTTGTGTGTGCCTGCATAATAGGATTGTCCAGACACATGCCTTGCCTTCCTGTGCTTTTCCCCTGAGATTAGCCTGCCTCAGCTTAGTGTACTTCAGATGTGCTGGATTTCAACCACCATTTTCCCCCAGACAGCCTGCTGGTCGTGCTGACTGGGGTTGATGGGGGTTGCCTGGCACATCTGGAGGATGTCAGATTGGGGAAGACTGTCCCAGATCTTCCCAACTTCAACAGATGGTTCTTGGATTCTTTCCCCCCTACCTTATGCTACAACAATGCCGTCACCCCAACTAAGGACATCTTTAATCTACAACTTGGAATGTTATTCCACTACTTTCACTGTATCTGCAGGGAAATTTCTTTCCCCAAAGAATCCTAGGAATTGTAATTTGGCAATGTTTCTAAGAAGTCTCTGCTAGCAGGAATCTCCAACACCCCCATCCCAGAGCTGTAGTTCCCAGGATCTTCTGGGAGGGGGAATGAACAGTGGCTTAATAACTGGAGTGCAGAAACGCTGCATGGATCACTGGATTGGACTGGACTGGCTTCTTCTGCAAGCTTGCAATCAACCAGGAGCAGCCCTGTTGCCGAATTTCCCCTTCCCGTTTTATTCCCACAAGAACACGCCTTGTGAATTCTGCTAGTAAACAGTTACTACTCTTACAATGCCGCTTCTTTGGCAGGCAGCAGATGGGCCCTCGAAGCCATCTGTGATAGAAGCAATTAGCGCAAATGCCAGGAGGAGAT